AGGGTTCACAGGAGGAAGGAAAGTAGAATGTTCCCTCAGGATCTACTTAGTCCCGGGGGAATGGAGGCAGAGAGTGAGGAGAGGCCACAACAGATAGTCTGTTGCAGGGCTAGGGGTGAGACTGGAGAAATAGATTTGTAGAGAGGAGACATAGTGAAGTTCTGAAGCTTGCTTACCTTATTTACTAGCAGACTTGCTTCTCGGGCAGGCTTGGCTGATGAATTTCCAGGGAGTGGCTGTTAGTGATGAGTTGGAAAGGAAGGTGAAAAGGAAAGATCTGCATAATACACTGGAGATGGGGGCAGGGAGTGGAGGCTACAGCATGTGGTCTGCTACAGAGCTGGGGGTAAGGATAGGAGAGTGGATTTGAAGGGGAGAAGGGAGCAATTAGCCTACCTGCTCCCCTGACTGAAGTGTGTGATTTTCCTTAAGCACAGTATTTTTATTATATCTTATTTATTTTGAGTGTGTGTAAATGTGTGTGTGTGTGTGTGTGTGTGTGTGTGCATAAGCGATACTTATAAAAGAAGCTTTGAGAATTTGTTTTCCCCTTTGTTGCTTTGGTCTGGGGATGAACCTAGGTCATAGGGTTTATTAGAATAAGTCATTACCATCTGAGCCATCTCATTGTCAAGCATAAGCTCACTACTTTCTCCTCTTCTTTCTCCTCTTCCTCCCTCTTCTCTTCCTTCTTTCAAAAGTGAGCATTCTGGAATCTGGGGAGATAGCTCAGTTGACAAAGTGCTTCCTTGGCAAGAATGAGGTTCTGAGTTTAATCTTGAAAAACTCTTACAGAAAAAGCTAGACAAGGTGGCATCCCTTTGTAATCCTTGTACTGGGGTGAGGGAAACAGGCATATCCACAGGATGTGCAGATTTAGCTTACTCAGTGAGTTACAACCCACTGGAAGACCCTGCCTCAAAGACTGAGGTGGACAGCACCTGGAGAGCAACACCCAAGATTAACCTATGACTTCTACATGCAAGCACAGCCATGTATACATACTTTCCCAAATATATGCACCCTCTATACACACACACACAGACACAGACACACAGACACACAGACACACACACACACACACACACAGAGAGAGAGAGAGAGAGAGAGAGAGAGAGAGAGAGAGAGAGAGAGAGAGAGGAGCCTCAGCTGCTCTCCATGACCCTCTCATGCATTTAAAACCAACACCACCACATTCAGCTCCCAGCACAAGGTACAACCTTGGTCATGTCTGGAATACAGCTTCTGTGTGCAGACTCTCAGGGAACACTTCCCAGAAGATTTTGCCTCAACAATGCTGGTCTGTTCTTAATCACTGTTAATTTTCCAGCTCCGGTCAACCAGCAATAAGTATCCAAACAAAGCAAAGGTTTCACTTCAGTATTTCTGGTATCTTGTTAATCAGCTGAATCTTCAGCCCCAGCTACCAGAACCACAGAATCTTAATTCAAAGTAACAAATAGCCCCAATGAAGTCTTTAAACTTTCCTCTGAAATGTCACAAGCCAGGCACCCATCATCTACATTGTCCTCAACATTGTTATCTTCCCAGATCCTATACAGAGCATCCACTGATGTCTCAACACTGAATAGCTTTTGTAACCCAAAGTTCTAAAGTCCTCCACAATCCTCCCTAAAACAACATGGTCAAGTCTCTTACAGTAATACCTCCCACTATCTTGGTACCAAAGTGTTTTAGGTAGAGTTACTGTTGCTGGGATCATGTTCAAAGCAACTTGAGTAAGAAAGAGTATATTCAGCTTCTGCTTCCACATTACAGTTCACCAACAAAGGAAGTCAGGACAGGAACTCAAACAAGGCAGGAACCTGGAGCCAGGACCTAATGCAGAAGCCATGGAAGAGTGCTGCTTACTAGCTTGTTCATCATAGATTGCTCAGTTTGCTTTCTGACAGAATTCAGAATCAGCAATCTAGGAGTAGAACCACCCACAATGAGCTAGACCCTCTCCTATTAATCACTAATTAAGAAGATGCTATATAGGCTTGCCTGCAGCCTGATCTTATGGAGGCATTTTCTCAACTGAGGTTCCCTCCTCTCACATAACTCCTGGTTGTATTAAGTGGGCATAAAACTATCTAGCACACCCAGTGTTCTCTTAAATAAATCACCAAGTCAAAACTCCTTGGCCATTTATTTTTAAAATTCATTCAAATTACTTTATCCATACTCTAAAGCACCATCTCCTGCTGTATAGATGATTGCAGGAAACCTCGACTGACCACCCAGCACACTCATTCCTATCCTCCTCTCTTAAGCCCACTCTCTGCCACCTGTACAATGTCCCAAAGCAAATCGGCTTGTGGGGTTTACTTCCTCAAAAATTTCCCATAAATTACTACCATTCTTAGAAGGGATTTCAAGCTTTGGAGCATGGTGTTAACTCCATATCATCTGGACAAGGTGTCTCTCACTCTAGCCTGTTCTTATGTGCTGTTTACCTCTGCTTCCTGTGTTACCGCCACACTGTCCTATATTCTTTCCTTTCAGGAACCCCAGACAAAGGATCCATTCCATTCCCTGCCCCTAATTCCTATGCATCTGAAGATCATTTCTTCAAATGAGACTTTCTTGGCCCCTTAGACTAAGTTATACCCATAACAAGTCTCAAAGAGACAGTGTTTGAATCTCATTTGTAACTATGAGTTCAGTATCATCATTCCAAGGAATATTTGGGGTGACTACAATGGCTGAGCAAAATGTGCAGTGACAAAGACAATAAGTATTCCCAATAAACTCTATAATTTGTCAATTGGTGAGTAGCATAGATAAAGTGAAGGGGAGTGATGTAGGGGACAGAAGGCCCAGAATGCTGGGTAAGGATAACAGTTCGCAATGTTAAAAAGAATGCTCGGCATATCTCTATACCAGATAAAATTAACCCAACAAATATAAAAATGTTAAATACAAAACTGAAACCTGTAAGTCTATACTCATGTAATCCTGGCATGGAATGCCAGGTGCTCAATATTTGTCAAGAAGATTAATGAACAAAATTACCATTTATTATGTTCATTCAAAATTCTCAGCCTGCTTTAATCACAGAGCACACTCTGATTGTGTACCAATGTGGAGAAATCATGTGTCACCCCAGAGTTTTGTGTGAATCCTCCCAAATCTCCTGTGATGAAAGGAATTTCTCTAGCCTCCTTTTCCTGGTCCTCATGCGATCTCCACAGGTTCTAACAGGGCTGATGAATTACCCTGTTATGAGGGCTCAGGGACTTCTGATAGTGACTTTCTAGGGGTGGCAGAGTATCTCACAAACACATTCCATTCCATGGGGTAAACTGAGTAGATTTAGTGTCTCTGTTCATGGAATGCAACATCTCATGGACTCACCCTCCTGAGACATAGATATACACAAACTTTTACTTCCTGTTTCCCCTTCTAAAAACCAAATACTTTGGCTCCAGGGCAGCTCAGCTTTAAATTGGAAAATGCAGCCTTGCTTGACAGAATTAGTATCACAGCCTTCCCACCACTCACAATAGTTTGTAATATATCCCTGCAGGCGTGACGGCAAAGGGTTTTCTAACATTCTGGAGCCTCAGTATCCAAAGGACTCTGCACAGTATCTTTAGATGTTAGTCTTTGGGTACAGTTCTTATATTTCCAGAAAATTCTCACTCTGTTTTTATGATTCTTTTCCTTCTAAATATTTAATGGTTCCTGTATCTTGAATCTTTGGAAACCAGAGTGGTGCTAGACATTGTTGGGGGAGATTTTAGGGCCAGGTCCTGGTCTCTGGCTGCTTTACTAAGGCAAGCTTGGCCACTTAAAAAGAAGAACAGGGGTTTGTTGTTACTGTTGTTGTTATTTTTTTGTTTCTTCTATATTTGGAAGAACAACAAATAAAATGTCCAGTGATTTCCTAATGCATCTTCAGGGTCCTTATAAGAAGGTTAGGTTTAAATAGAGGGCGGGGGGGGGGGTTACCTCATTGGCTTAGCATAGCATGGTCTATTTTAGACTTTAACATAATACAAGTACATGTGTATCCTTACCAGTGGACAGTTTCATGGGAAATATGCTAGAAACCACAATGTAATAATACCTTTACTCTAAAGTAAATTAGTATAATTTTAATTATAAATCTTGTGATTGAGAACTACAATGAGATTTTCATATTTCAAATTTTATAACCAGAGAAAGAGAGGTAAAGGGACAGAAATAACGTAAGCATATGTTAGAATCACATTCACTGCTTTCAGTTAAGACCAGTGACAATATATTAACTGTTTCTTTTCTCTCCATAGTTTGCTAAGCACTACTTCTCCTGTGACTTTCTCAATGTCTCAGCTGTTCCAGGAGTGTGGAAGGGAGGGATGGTGTGTGTGTGTGTGTGTGTGTGTGTGTGTGTGTGTGTGTGTGTGTGTGTTTCCTACATCCCTGCCTCTAGTGCTTCAGGATTTCCTTTTAACATAGCATCAAAACTTCATTTCCTCCCAGCATCTAGTTTGATTGAAGGAAATGTGAACTCACCACTTTATAATTAAGAAAACCACTCTGTGTGTTTCCATGTTCTGCAGCTATTGTTTTTCCTAATGGAAAGTTACAGATAAACAAAATCAGTAATTTGAAAAGGAAATTAGAAGCAGTACCCTTCTGTCTCAGGCTTGTTTCTCTACTTAGCAGTTGTGGTGGTAAAACAGAAGGTGGGCCTGGGTTCTCTTCTTAGTCACCAGAGCATTTCTGTATGCTTTCTTTCTAGCTGCTGTGGTTCATATGCTGAGTCTTGTAATTGGCATCATATTCGGGTTCATTGTTGTTTTGAAAGACTAACAGACATAGTCTCAGACTTCTAAAACAATATTCTTTTTAAGGCATTTAATCAAGGCATAGACCTTTTAATGCAATAATCTTTTTGCATAATCAAAAGGACCAAGTAGAATATCATGGAATAATTCTTCCTATCAATTTTACACTTTAAAAAGATGTATTCTTAACTCTTGGTTTTTTTTTTGAGGACACCAAACACATTATTTCTCTGTTCTCTTTAATTGCATGGTATAATGAATCTTAACAATACGGAACAGGCAGAAATGATAGACCCAAGACCTAGATCAGCATCACATAGTTGAGTTCATGTAGGACTAACAGAAGATTGGCCCAAAACCTAAGACTGACTCAGAAACTCAAGGGCATCTCAGGGCAAGTATAGAATACAGATAATACAATAGGGCTGGATAGCTGAGGGACCTGTGTGTCAACACCTACTGTATGCTATGTGCCGGATATTGTATAAATTGCTGAGGCTATAAGGAGTGAGCAAGATAAACACAGTCCTGGCCACATGGAGCAAAACAGACAACTTGTAAAAGAAGCAGATTAAACGTTTGCAATAAGAAAGGACGACAGGATGGTAAAACTGTGAGATATATCCGAACAAGTCTAGGAGGGAAACAAACTTTTCCTGTTGGGATTTCCTTTGTCTATAAAATAGGCAAAATGAGCAGACATTTCTTAGGCAAATATAGAGGAAGAGACTGTGCTCTACAGTGGGAACATATTGTGAGAGGGCCTGTAGGGGAGAAAGCGGTTGGCATACTGCCAAGAAGGAGTGGCTAGAATGCAGAGAGACTGGGTGGTCACAGGGAGAGGAGTGCTGCGAAATGGGACTGCTAATGTGGGGCAGTCTGAAAGAGTTACAGCAAGCTGGGACTGTGCCATTGCCACCTCCCATCATGTGTGGCTATCACACTGTCATGCTCAGTCTTCTGTCTCTCAAAGCCCACTCGGTTGGGAGGACCCTAGCTGTGTGGACCCTAGATGCCGATTAATATTAATAAATACTCTGTTGGCACGGCACAGTGGTCACCTTGCAAGCTATCTGCTATCTCTTGGGACACAGGACGAAAAGACAAACCTGACATACTGTAAGTTCAAAGGGTTAATCTAGGGAAATAGAGCAGCTGAGAACTTCTCATTAGGGGGAAACCCAGTTTGGGAGAGCCTGCGGTACTTGAAATGGTTCATATTTAAGCAATAGAGACACGACTGAAACCTAGTCCCGCTGAGCTAGCGGCCAGTGAGCAATGGTCCCCTGAAGGATCCTAGAATTATTATTACTTGGTCCGAAAACTCATCAGAGTTCATGAGGACCCCGGAAGCCTCACAAGACTTTGAATCTAGTTACTTTTTTAAAGAGATGACCCAATCTGCTTTCTCTAAATTATGAATTTTTCACTCCTTTTGTTTCTTTCTGCCTTGTCTTGAGCTAGTTCAAGGGGTGGGCCATGTGTCTAGCTCTGAGAATCAGGAAGAGAGAGACTGGAGAAAAGAGTGCCCTTGCCACCTCCCATTGTGTGTGGCTAGCACACTGACAAGCTTTGAAAAAAAATCTCTAAAACTCAACAAAGTGCTTCTCTTAAAAGCCTAAGTAGCGCGTTCCTCAATCTCATATGACTAATTGATAAAATCTATTTTACATCCACCTACAATTTTGTTTCATTTGTTCCTGGCTCTTAATGGCTTTGTTGCTTTAAAAAACACTACTGGATTTTTCCATCACTAGGAAACTAAATGCAAACTGTGATCTTGATTGGAGACCATGGACTGAATAGATGTGATCCAGAATAGAGAGAGGCAGCTCATACCACCCAGGCAGTTAATGCATCTTTAACATGTGTTCAAGATGAACTGCATCTGGGGATTAGGGTTCACCACAGGAACTGAAAGATAAAATGAAACGTTCCTCTCATAAGTCATTTTTTTCTTACCTTTTCATTTTCTCCTTTTAACTTAAGCCTACTCCCCTGCAATTAGTATTAGACATCATATGGAAATAAGCTCTGGTTTCTCCCCATTTAATGCTAACTACGTTCTCACTTCATTCTTAAACTAACCTAACTTTTGGAAGCTTCTTGAAGCACCAGGCTAAGTGGTGTGTTGCAGAATACATCAGAAGATGCTGTTGTTAAGACCTGGGCCATGGGTTCTGGTCTTAACAACACACACTTGTCAAAACATGCTCTTGTTTTGACAAGGAGATATGACAAGGACAAACAACCCGGTGGCCCACAATATTAGCCATGATATGATAGATCAAAGGAGTACCTGAAAAGATTTAGAACTGTGAGTTACAAAAATGAGAGAATTAAAAAATTGCATAGTGCAAGAATTACTACCCACAACCATTTGTGGCTTCTGGATGAGAAATGTTTCATACTAGAGCTAATTCACCTGAAAACCGTGCACTGTGGCAGACATCTGGAGAGCTGGGAGGTCTTTCTAATTATTTTGGTGAGAAGGTTTGGCTGTGTGTGAGCTCTAAGAGTTATTTGTGCTTAACCTTTGTAAATGATTTCCCTGGGTCTTGAGTAGCTTCCTCTTCTACACCTGCATGTCAGTATTCTGCTGAAGTCTGAAGTCACATGTTCTGTACATACCATTCTCTCTGAAGCCCAACCTGCAGAAGCCAATATACTGCAGCCTCCCCACATGCTAGCCCCACCCACATCTGGAAGAACACCAGCAACTTGTCTGCATTCTCTCACCACACAGAGGTCTCTTGACTTCCCAGGCAGTAAGCCAGGACTCACCTCTGTTTGCTCCATCCTCTCAGGATCTTTGCTAATCTTTATCTCCTGTCAAATTAACGTCTTCAAAGCCATCACCCCGTTTATTGTCACTTGTGTTTTTATATTTTTGTTAATTGAGAATTTCATACAGCCTAAAAGTGCACCTGAAAGACAAATAATGAAAATGTGGTACCTTTATACAATGGAATCTTATTCATCAGTAAAGTAACATGGAATTATGAAAGTTGCAGGTAAATGATTAGATCTGGGAAATATACTGAGTGAGGTTAACCCAGATGGAAAAAGACAAATGGTACATGTTCTCACTCCTGTGGATCTTAGCATTAAATCTTTTGATGTATGTGTTTAATTTGTAGTTCGTCTAAAGCCTAGGGAAGTATGAAAGAGCAACTGGTATGGAAAGGGAAGAAAACTCTCAAAGCGAAGGATAGTCTGTTCTGTTTGGGTTTTGTTTTGTTGTCTTCTGATTGTTTGTACAAGAAATCAAGTTCTAGATTCTTTGACATTGATGATAGCAAAATCCTCCAGGGATATTTGAAAGTTCATAACACTGTTTTCTGTGGTCACTTTTTGAGCCTCTTTCCACTGACTGTAAGCCAATTAAGTGGAACCAATATGTAAAAAAATGAATGGTTATTTGGGAGCAAAGTAAAATGAACAAAAATTTTTTTTTGAAATAATTTATAAAAGTCAGCAGTTTAATTTACATTTATTCATAGCTTATTTGAAAGGGAATTTTTAGCATTAAAATCTTACCTACAGTTCATTTTCATGCAAATTAAATTTTAACAAACACTAAACTTAGTGAAGTTGCTAAAATTTTATATTTTGGACATCTCATTACATACTTTCAAATGGGTTTGGAGTATTTTTGCTGCCTTTAATGTTTTTTTCATGGACCCTTTAAGAAACACTAGTTTAACTTGAAGTACCTAAAGATAGAGTCCCTTTGCTTTCTCTTTAAACTCAGGATGCTTATAACTTAAAGTATAGCAGCTTCGTGCTCATCTTGATATGGCATTTGAACTCTGGAATCTCTTTATTTCCCTATATACAAGTAAAACACCTTGTCAAATTCCATTTTCCCTTTTGTTAGGTACTAGGCAAATCCAGTTCATTCCTGTGGCCTAAGTTGAACACTTTATCCCAGTCAGACATAGCAGCTCCATGGCCATGTGCCTGTGTTTTCAATCCTAAAGTAGTAGTTCTCCATGAGGGTTGCTCCCTACCCCTCTATTTGATGTCACAGAGAAACGAGCTCTAGTTTCTCTCCCCACTTTTAATGCTAGCCATGATCTCACTTTAATCTTTTAATATAATAGTTTTAGTTTTTTATTTTCTTACATTTTTATTGAATATTTTATTTATTTATATTTCAGATGTCATCTCCTTTCTCCATTTCCACTCCCTAGAAACCCCCTATCCCATCTCCCCTTCTCCTTTATGCTTTTATACCATTTTAATTACATGAAAGTATTAAGGTCAATTCTAGGCTGAGGAATTTTGTTTATTGTCTCGCTTGTTCTTTGACTATTTGTGTTTTTTGTCTTGCTTCTTCCTTGACTATTTGCATCTATTCTGTTGTTAGTTCCTCACTTTAATTTTAACCTAAATTTGAGAAGCTTTTAGAACACTAGGCTAAATATTGTAATACATCGGAAAATGCTGTTGACATGGTGTGGGCCATAGATTCTGCTGCTATCACTGAAATCAGTGTCCCTACTTGAAGCAGATATTTGACAATATACAGGAATAGTTTTGGTCATTACACCCTGGATGAGAGGATGCCTGCTGTCTTTGGCATCTTATGTGCTGAGGCCATACATAAGGCTAAGCACCTAGAAATGATCAGGAAACCCTCCTCCTACAACTATGTAGACTATAGAGTCAACAATGATAGAGAGATAAGTTTTTAAATCAATGTGGGTTCAAAGTAGAGAGTATTGGGCCTGCTCAGAAATACTTTTGGTAGCCTTCTTGTTGCCATTTTGAAAAGAGATACCATGGACTTCTTGGCAAAAGTAGCAAAATATACATTCTATCTATACAGAAAACAAGCTCATATTTCTCTAAAATTAGTAGTGCTAGATTCTAAGAATAATTTAACTCACACAAAAGTTATGGACACTCATTTCCAATGCCATATATGTTCCCAGGAGCTTCCCAGACTAGTCAGATGAGTTAATTTCAAACAGATTATAAACAAAGATATTTATTCCCATCTTCTCCTCCCCAAGAATGTCTTTATCCACTTTTTGTATCACTAACATGGTTACTTGATGATCTGTGCCTTGAGCTCACAACAAATTGGCATTCCTCCCATGAACAAGTGGAAACGATATGAAAATTTCAGGCAAAACTCATCAGAGAACGTTGAATTGAGATTCCACTGAAATATGATTCATAATATAGTAATACTTACCTGGAGATGAAGTGCTTCATCTGAGATAATTAACAGCAAAGGACACTGCTTGTCAATATGAATTCTCCTCCTTTTATATTATGTTTGCATTTGATATGGAAATATCCAGTCCTGAGTTTGTAGCCTTGAGGTTTTCTAGTCTTGAGAGTTTGTACACAATGAACAGGAAGTACATGAATGGAGTTTGATGACAGTATCCATGTCTCCTCCTTCAATATTTTCTATATTGAGTCTAGTATTGTTCTTAAAATTTCACAAATAAGGTAAATGAATTCATAGCTCTAGAAGCTTTGCTGGAGTGCTTCGCCACCCCCCAACCTGAGAATGTTGAACTTTCTTTAATTTAAATTTCAGTCTTTAATCCATTAACATGGGACATCTTTTCCTTTGTGAGTGTCTTCTTCAATTCTTTCATGAGTGTTCTGTCATGTTTAGCATGGAGATAGTCTGCCTACTTAGTTGCACTTATTCCAAAATCTAAAGATGTTTTTTTGCGAGTGGATTCTTTTCTCACTTGTTTTTCTGATTGCTCGTTGGTTGTATAATGGAAATGCAACAGGGTTTAAGATGGGGAAGCTTTTCTGAGGGTTTTGTTCTTCGGGGAAGAATTGAGCATGATTCGCTCTTCAAAAATCATTCCTACCAGCTATGTGAACAGTGTCCACTGCTCCATTGGGCTCAAAATTTGGGGCTATCCAACTTGCACCTCTTTCTACTCTCAGAGATGTGAAGCATTTCCATGTTGTTTGTTTTCATTTCCATAGCCTGAATTAATAAATAAATTTTTGAATATTTTCATCTGTTCATTGGTGATATACATTTCTTCTATAGCTCATTTGTTTATTGTACATTGTCTACATTGGTAGTCTTTTCTAAGAATTCCTAGCACTGATTTTATCTCAACATTGATTTATATGTTTGTACATTTTTAAGTTGCAGTTGAAAATCTGGACAAGTATAATAGGGTAATAAATTTTTGTATTTAATGGTCTTTGAAATTAAAGTCTCTAATTAAAATTGTTACTGTATTAGGAAAATGTGCATATAAAATATATCATTAGAAGCTGAAAGGCAAGCACAAATCTGGAAGAAAATAATTATGAAACATATATTTGATAAATGACAAGTACTCAGAATATACAAAAAAGACAACCTAAAAATAATACAATGAAGAACCCATCACAAAAGTTGCAAGTTTTAAATAGACATTTCACAAAAGGAAATGCAACAATGCCTGGTACACACATAGAAAAATGATCAGTTCTTTTGTTAACAGAAAAATGCTCATTTAAGACCACAGTTAGATATTGTTTTATAGATACTGGAATCACTATAATTAAAAAGGTAGATCATAAAAATGTTATATTGAGGATGTGTGGAAATGAGGATACTGATATATTCATGTTGCAAATGTAAAGGGGCATAATTACATTGGAATAATGTCTCGTTTTTTCCATTTTGTTCCTATTTATTAAGTCTATATAAAAATAACTTAAAATACTATGTACTTCGTGCCTTTGTTTTCCCTGATAATCCATATTATTGGACATGATCAGTTTTTATTTTTTTCTATTTATGGCATTGTACTTTATTGATGCTAAAAGGATATTATATCTGAATCATAAAGAATGATGAGTGAATTTTAAGATATTTGAAGAAAGTAAAATTGAACAAAATAAGACCTGACTATTAATCCAGTGTGTAAAATGTATATGCATGTCCCTTTCTTAATAAAGGCAATATTAGTTAGTCCTGAATTCAAAAGTTAAATGATAAAATAATAGATATATTATTGATATTAATTCATAGCATATAATGTCCATTTAAATTTTTTAAATGTGTCTGAGGCAAAAAATTTCATATTGTGATGAATACAGATTACAAAGGATATAAATTGTATTTGATCTGAGAATAATTAACACTTGAGAGTGTGGCATCTTAAACTGAAGAAAATCTAATTTAAAGCTTTACTTTGCAAACATGTCAGGTATGTGAGACCTTAATGAAGAGAAATTAGCTAAATAAAGACATTAACAGGTGCAGTTGGCTATTCAAGTAGCCCTGAAGTTCCTGTGTAACTCTCCATACCAAAATACCCAAGAATCGGTAGTTGTAATGACACAGAGACAGAGTCAGTGAAAAGCAACACGTAGACAGTAAAAGCATCTGTGATCTTCATGTAGCAATGTTTGGGACAGAGAATAAAACATGTCTTGGAAAGTTTCTCTTTATCTATAAAGTATCAAAAATTCTAAAACCTCAGCTTCATTCCTTCTATAAGAAAAATCTAAATTAAGTTTTCGCCTACTAGAAGAATATTTTCAGTTGGGAGCAGGACAGGGATGACCTAATAAAATATGCAAGAATAATTTGCTATAGTCTAGCTCCTTTATTCTTGTAGGTGTGGAGAATAGATTATTGCTTTAATGTTTCATCCTAGGGTCATATTCACAGGTCAGGGGGCATACAGAAAGATAAGTCAGTGATATATTAACCAAAGGTAGTTGTTTGCTGTGTAGTCACAAGCAAGGGCAAATAATTACAATACATGAAAGAATGGGGAAGATTAGTGTCTATAGATGATCTTGGCCCCAAGGGGAGAGAAAAGGCCAGAGGCAAAGAAGCAGACCAAACAAGGTTGTAAACCAGAATTAGGCACAGGGAGGAGAATTCCTGGCAGGATGACAATAAGAAATATTTTATACCAGAAGCTGTGTTTTGTGGCATGACAGCAGTCCACTGGGTTAAGACACAGTGGAGTGCCCAGAGTTATAATCTTGTTTGCTATAGCTGTGTGCATGAGACATTCTTTATCTGGTCAATTTTCCTCTAAGACTATTCTTAGCTGGTATAGACTTGATTCTAGCTCAGCTGTGTTGTAGATCAATGCCTTGGTTGTACTCAGTCTCCACATCTAAAGGGACTTCTCAACACGCAGTTCTTACATCTTGCAATCTATTTCTGTTTCAGCCTGGACAATTTCTGACAGTGCAGTCTCACCACATGGTTTGAGAGATGGCTGTGGAAAACAACACTCAGCGCAGCTACTCCATCATTCCATGTTTTATATTTGTTGAGGTAAGTGTATTTTTAAAGCTATGAACATGCTGTAATAGCAAATGTTGTGCTGAGAATATGTACTCTTTTGTGAAATTACTTAATCTTACGATTGGGTCAAACATTGATATCACAAAGAGAATCAATAATTTTAAAAGAATGCTTATTAAATCAGAAACCATAAATAAGGTTTTGAGACTATGTCTTTAGGACAAAGTGCATTTTTATTCTGTTTCTTTTATTTTTCAATGACCCTATATTAGCTATGAAAGTCAATGCAGCACTTTAATTAAGTTCTCCTTTAAAAATCAATATCCTTTTCCAAAAATCAAATAAGGCAGGCAGTTTACCGATGGTAGTAGTTCATGCTTTTTTGCCTCTGGAGTCCGTGGATGGAAAAAAATAGAATTGACCACTTCTATGCATTTTTCTCTGTAATGTTAGAAAGCTTATGTTATGGGATACTGCTTCCATCACACATCTCTGCGAGTTGCTCCACTATTTCCCCTGCATCTGTTCTGCTAGTTTCCAGCATCCTTCCCCATAGATCTTTCTTATATGGAATATTTGCTGTGGAGTAGGCGAAGACGAGGACATCTGGGAAAATAGGCAGTTCTATGTCCAAAAATCTATCCCCCAAGTTATTCGACAGTAAAATGTTGGTTTGTTAACTATATTACTGTTCAGTCTTCTTGAGATACATCACCTAAGGGATTACTTTGCCACAAATAAAGACCTTAAATATGAACTGTAAAGAGTTGAAAAGTTCCTTAGCATCCAATCTGGATAGCTGTGTAAATAATCTCACCATTCCAAAGGGTAGCTATAGCGTCTTTTATGTTGTACATCTTTTGGGTTGATTGAGGGTTATGTGTGTTGATCTATTTATTATCTGTGAAAGGAGGCACTCAGGCTACACTACTACATATCACAGCAAACACAGACTTTCAGTAACTATGCTGGCTTTTTCCTTTACTGTTGTTGTTGTTGTTTTGGAGACAGAATCGCCCTTTTTAGTCCGCACTGTCTTGACTTCACAGCTATCCTTCTGCTTTAGCCTTATGAGTACTGGGATTAGGACCTCACCTACTTAGAAACGTTGTTATACTCAGCCTATGAATCATAGTGACTTTTTGAATTTAAAGCTATTCTGATCTGTGTGTTTTATCTGGTGGGCATTTAGGGGCAGGATAGTATTACCTGGCAGTTTATTCCCTGTTTGACATTTGTGAAACAGCTTGCTTGCATTACAGAATCTGGTGAAATAGGAGAGAAGGTCAAAGCTCATATAGAATTAATTGCGCTAAAATTCTAGAAGCCTAAACAAGTAACTCATCTCTGTAATGTGCACATATTGTCTTTAACATTGTTATGTAATATAATGGCCAACACCAGTCAGATACTGACAACACAGTGTACGAATTATGGGTTCTACTTCTTGTTGAATTGTAATGGATGAAGGGGGATCTTTATCTTGCTGCCTATACAGAAAATGTAAAGAGAATATCATTTCCTTTTTAAGTGTTCTCCTTTTTGTGATAAAAAATAAGATTTATAGTATTCTACAAGGATGCTAGGGAATAAGTCACCTGTCATCACCTTTATTCTCCCAGCACACTTCTATTTTAGATTTATTCCCCAAACCCAACAGGAACCAAGTCTTAAAGCAAGGGATAATTTATTGCTGGAAACTCTACTTTTTGAAGTTTTTTTTTCTATTTTTTTTCTCTAATGGGAGAATGGTGAGCTTGGCTGGTGAGACAGAAGCTAGAGAGATAAATTAACCCCTCTGTGGCTCACCTTGAAGTTGTCATCAAGATGATCTGAAAACCCAGGATAGGAGAAATGGTTCCTTCTTTTTCTTGCTGTGTTGTCATTCTATACAGGAACTCAGATGTATCATTCACATCTCTCCAGAATAAGCAGGATGGGTGGGGGATGGAACTTAATTGAGAAGTAGGAAAAAGGAAACCTCAAGGAGACTCCACTGGTTCTCACTATTGCACTAACAAACATTGGATCATTGTCCTATTTCTTCCAGGCTCTGTAACAAGAGTCTCAGGAAATGCAGCCAAAATTACTAGGTTAAAAAGTCAATTGTATCAGTGGATATTTTTTTTTAATTAGGAAAGATATTAAACACAAGAAAATAAATTCCCAACCCTACTACCAAAACCAAAACCTACAATTTTTTCATGTTTGCTTCAAATGACATTCCCCCCCCCCCCCGGGGAAGGAAAATGTTGCTGCTGTGGCCAAAATCTTACGACAGAGAATATGATTCAAGTGTACTTTTTATTTTTATACATTGTTAATTAAAATATAATTCCCTTTTCCCCTCTCTCCCTTCTCTCCAACTCTTTCCATATCCCCATTCTCAAATTGATAGCCTTTTCTTCTATGATCATTGTCATTAAGCACACACAAACACACACACAACAAACATATAAATACAACCTGTACAACCTGATGAGTCTGTTTGTGTTGTTTGTGTATAGTTTCTGAGAAACACCTGGTACTGGAGTAGCATTACCAGAGGTCCATGATTTCACGTTCTTGCACATCTTTTTAAATTTGAAAACTTTGGTAGGTTGTTTTATTTTTATTTATTTATTTATTCATTTTAGATCCCAATATCAGTCCCCCCTCTCTTCCAAGTACACCCTCATGCAGATCATCTCCCCATTCCTCTTCCTTTGAGAAGGGGGAGAGCTTCCTCTGGGTATCACCCCCCCCATACACTGCTACCCCATTCTGAGCACATCAAGTCACTGCAGGGCTAGGCACATGCTCTCCCATTGAAGTCAGACAAGGTGGCCCCGTTAGGAGAATGGGATCTACAGAAAGACAGGCAACAGATTCAGGGATGATCCCTACTCCAGTTGTTGGGGTACCCACACGAAGACCAAGCTGCACATCTTCTACATATGTGCAGGGGGGTTAGGTACAGTCCATGCCTCTTTGGTTGGTGGTTCTGTCTCTGGGAGTATCTAGCACATTTCTTTATACCTATATGTTTTATTTACATGGAAGGTTTCCTTTGGCTATTTCATACACCCTTCACTTCAGTTAACCCTCTCTCTACTTATATCCTTCTTCCCAAATTAGTCATTCCGTGGCAACATTCTCCTTTCATATCATGTTTACTGTCATTAAGGCATTCTCTGTCCAGTGTACCTCTTCTGGTTTCCTGGCTTCTACAGGTACTACAAGCTAAACACACAAATCTAAATAATGAAGCAAAGATCCTGATCTGAGAGACAACATGTGGTGTTTATCATTCTATGCCTGGGTTACTTCAACCTATTTTTTTTTCTAAATTCCATATTTTTCCCGCAAAATTCTATATTTCTACTTTTCTTTATATCTTGATAAAATTCCATTGTTTATATGTACCACATTTTAATTATCTATTCATCAGCTGATAGAAATCTAGACTATTTCTACTTTCTAGGAATTTTTCAGTGATGAACAAGGAGGCTATACAGACCTTTGGGTATTAACCCAAGAGAGATATAGCTTGGACATACAGCTTTTTGAGTAACCTCCACACTAACTTCCATGTTGCCTATACAGTTATCCTTGCACCCACAGTGAATAAGAGTTCCTCTTTCCCCAATCCATACCAGCATCTGATGTCATTTGATTCATTGATAATACTATTCTGAGTGGGGTGAGATGGGAACTCAAAATAGTTTTAATCTTTAGTTTATCCTTTAGCAGGTTTTTCAGAAGTCATAACTCATAAGGTTTTTTAATACTTGTTTGAAGTTGGCCTATTGTGATAACTAAGGAATGGTGACTTTACTTGGCACCAGGTTTCTATGGGTAGAACTGTGAACACTAGTCTACTCTCTTTTACTCCCTGATAGTATTGTTGCTGCTGCCAGCTCCTCCAGCATTAACTCTTCTCAATAGGTGAAACACTCTTTATTTTCAGTTGATTATAACATTTTCCCCCTTTCTTAGATGTGCTTCGGTTCCTAAGCATGAATTTCTACTATAATTTACTTTGCATTTTCAATATGAATGACATATAGATATTTTGTCGTGATTAAAGTGTTCCCTTGTGGAGGGAGGAGGAGGGCTCATAAGACTCAAGAACGAAACAAAAACTGCAAGGCTGAGAAAGTTTTTGAGACTTAACAATGTTCATAAGGTCCCTCCTCAAGATTATAAAGGCAGTAAAACAATTTCTTGGGAGAGGATACTGTCCTGCTAGCTGACATAGATCATATAGAGAGCTTTAAGGGTACAGGTTCCATGAGTCCTCACCAATGCCTGAGTGGGCTTTCACTGATTTAGCTGCCTATGCTTGAAAATGACACCAATAAAGACACCAGCTCGCTACATTAGAATAGAGTAGAATAATTTCTTTTATCTGCCATTGATACTCTCTCTGGGTAAAAAGATGTCTGTTTATGCTCTCCCCTAGCAAAACACACACACAATGAACACTCAAATGATACTCCATTTCTTTTCACTGTAACAGCTTTCTGATGTATCTTATACCTTTCTACTTCGTTCTGTACTTTTTCCTCTTCATTCATCTCATTTCTATTTAATTTCTAAAAATTCTGTGTGGTTTTGTTTTAATCTTCCTATTTTATAGTATTATTTCAAAGCTTTTGCCTTTCTTGCATGTCTTTAATTATACCATATGCATTTTGCATACTCACAGAATAAGGTGATTGGGCATCTTATTTGTTCTGTCTGCTGCCATAACTCACAGTGGATAGATTCTTTTAGGATTCATGTGGGTATTAGGCTTGGGGAGTAATGCTTTGGAAGGATTTTTGAATGAATATTATTCTTGCACTTTGGTTTCAACTTCCATGATCCCAAGGTCAGAGCATTCTGTCCTTGTGTTCTTCCTACCCTAGCAGTGCCTTCCTTCTCAGGAGTGAAGAAAGACTTTTCAGGAATACTGGCTTTTACACAGGAGTTGTTCTTCCAACACAAGTCCTCCTGTCCTATATTGCAGACACTAAGGCCCAAACGCCAATACTGAGATTGATCTG